GGCTTTCACCCTCCTCCCATGTCTGCACACCCACACCAGCCCCCTCTCCCTGCCCGAGTCCCGCTCCCTGCGGATCAAGCTCAGGCTCGTGTGTCCGCTCATGCTCATCCTGCCCTCGTGCCCCATCCTCAGCATCCTCCATGAGATGTTGGGCTGCACCGTCCCCCTGTCCCTGTGAGGTTTCTAGGTTGGCACCCCAAAGCACCTGCGTATCCACCTGGGCATCCTCTGCCTCCATTTCCACTAACTCTGGTTTATCGACCTGATCCAGGGGCTGAACATCTGGAGCCACACCCCATCCCTGCTCTGTCCCCAAGGAGCCAGCCTCACTCAGGGGCTGCAGATCTGCTTCTGGGCCTCCTCCTGGGGTCTGTTTGTGCTCATCCACCTCTGCCATCAGCTGCTCGTTAGCACCAGTGCTCAGGTCCTCCAGCATGTCCAGGCTTTCAGCCTCCTCCCATGGCTGCACACCCACACCAGCCCCCTCTCCCTGCCCGAGTCCCGCTCCCTGCGGATCAAGCTCAGGCTCATGTGTCAGCTCATGCTCCTCCTGCCCTCGTCTCCTCCGTGGGGCGTAGGGCTGCATGACTCTCCCCTTCCTGTGAGGGTTCTGGGCTGGCACCTCCACGCAGCTGCATGTCCCTCCAGGAGTCCTCTGCCTCCACCAGTTCCAGTGCCTGAGTCTCAGCTGGGAACAGCTCACACAGGTCTGGGCTCCCAGCCGGAGTTTCTGCTGGGGAAGGACCCTCACCGTGCACTGCAGCAGCACCCATTTCCTCCCCCAGCCCTAACTCTGGTTTGTCATCCTCCTCCAGAGGTTGCACACCTGGAGCCTCGCTCCCCCCCTGCTTGGTCCCGGGGCAGTCGGCCTTGCTGGGGGGCTGCAGAGCTGCCTCCACCTCTGCAAGCAGCTGCATGTTGGCCTCGCTGCTCCGGGACTCCAGCGGTTGCACATCTGGTGCTGCTCCACCTTCCCACATGACATCCAGTGGCAGCGGCCCCTCTGCACCCACGCTCCCCCCCAGCGCCGTGTCTCCCCTCGCAGACTCACCCGCTGGCCGTGGCTCTGCCCCCCTGGGCTGCGTTACCTCCACCTGCCCTTCCTCGGCCCCGGCTCCGCTGCTCCCTCCCTGCTGAGCTGGGGCTGGCAGCACATCGGCATCCAAGCTCTCTCCCGGGGGC